GCGAAACCATGTCTTCGTCTACCTGGACGACCTTCTCATCATATCCAGAACATTTGCCGAGCATTGCAAGGTGCTGCTGGACGTGGCGAATGCCTTGAAAGTAGCGAACTTGACGATCTCCTTTAAAAAATCTAAGTTTTGCTATCGGTACTTGAGGTATTTGGGGTTCGTTGTTGGCGATGGTGCATTGCGGACAGACCCGGAGAAAGTCGAGGCGATTCGAGAAATTTCCTTGCCCACCAGCTCAAAGCAGCTCCGCCGATTCTTGGGGACCGCGGGCTGGTATAGGCACTTCATTCGGAATTTTTCCACGATTTCCTCGCCGTTAACAGAAAGGAAAAGGGAAGTTTCAATTAACGGGCGAAGCAATTGCTGCATTTCAAGAGTTAAAAAAAGCACTCACCTGCACACCGGTGTTGGTGCATCCGGACTTTCGGAAGCCGTCCGTGATCCAGTGTAACGCGATCCATGCGGGCATATGAGCTGTTTTATTCCAGCACGATGCAGACGGTGCATAAAGGCCAGTAGCTTTCTTTTCAGCGAAGCTTCGGGGCGCTCAACTAAACTATAGCGTCACCGTGAAGGAGTGCCTGGCTGCGGTGAAAGCTGTCGAGAGATTCCGGCCGTATGTGGAGTTGATGCCGTTTAAGGTGGTGACTGATCACGCCAGCCTGCGGTGGCTGATGTTGTTAAATAAGTTGAACGGCAGATTAGCGCGGGGTCGTTGGCCCCGCAAAGGTTCAATTTTAGTATTGAACATCGGCAAGGCAAGGACAATATTGTAGCCGATACACTCTCGCGGCCTTCCGAGCCCGAGGAAATTGATTTTTTTGATTTCGAGACAACCGAGTTCGAAAGTGCGAAATATACTGAGCGACTGAAGCAAGCGCGGGAAAACGCTGAACTATTTCCAGATTTGCGCGTGGAGGATGGGCTTCTGTATAAGCGGGTGCATTTCATGCTGCCCGAGCGAGAGGAATTTTCCTGGAAGCTCTGGTTACCGCGTCCTGTGTCCGCAGCCCTTACACAGCAGGCCCACGAGAGCGACGCGGCCATGCATGGGTGCATGAAGAGGACGATGAAACGGCTTGACAGTTTATCTTCTGGCCGGTTGCGAAACTTGCAAAGCGACGAAACACAGCACGCAAGTTGAGAGGCCAGTAAGGGGTGTCGAAACCATGCCGCTCAGGCCAATGCAGAGGCTGTATCTAGATTTTCTGCGGCCGTGTCCGAGGTCCAGGAGAGGAAATACCACAATTCTGGTAGTTCTGGACCATATGTCCAAATTCGTGTGGCTATAAGCAATGCCAAAAGCAACTGCAGCGGCAGTGGTCCGGTTTCTAAAAGAGGTATTTACTGCATTTGGAGTACCTGAGACCATCCATACAGACAATGGGAAGCAGTTTGTGTCCAGCCAGTTTAGGGGTTCCTGCAGAGACCGAACATCACCCACGTATGCACGGCGAACTATTCCCCATAAGCAAATGCGGTGGCGTGAAACAGTCGGTGTTAGCGGCCATCAGGACCTATGTGTAAGACGACCGAAGTGGGACGAGAAGCTCTCGGATGTTCAGTGTGCAGCACGTAGACCATCCATAATAGCATTGGCACGTCCCCATACTTTGTTTTGTTTGGACAGCACATGTTCACCAGCGGGAAGGACTACAAGCTGGCACGCAAGCTGGGAGTCCTGGAGGATGCCGAATTGCGCGTGTTGCCCAGGCCAGATCAGCATCAGGTAGTGCGTAATGAAGTCCAGCAGAGTATGCGGCTAGCGTACGTACCTGGCCAGGAGGTTTACCGGCGAAACTTTGTCCTCACCCGATTTAAAGAAAACATATACGCTAAGCTATGCTCAAAATATGTAAAATGCCGTATCTGGAGCAGCGTCGGCAACAGCCTATACGAATTAGAGGACTGGCACGGGCGTCGGCTGGGAGTCTTCCACGCCAAAGATTTGAACCAATAGTGAAGGCCCGGCTTTATTCGTAGGCAGAGCGAGAGACCCATCTCAGGATGTGGGCGTTGTCCTACGTTGGGCAGGAAAGGAACCGCGTCGTTTTCACTGCCGTTTCTTTCGGTTGACACCAGATAAAACCGGAGTGCGACGCGGAAGACGGAGGGGATGGCAACTCGCGCAATTAGTAGCTGGCGCCGGCCGATTCCAACACCTAGTACTCGTGCGTGAGTGGTGTGGCCAAGTGCTACCAATTGTATTATAGAAATCGATATTGGGTAGCATCGGGGATAAGGGAAATTATCGGTTCCATCAAGAGTAGCAGGACGTGCACTTTGTCAAGGGCAGAAGAAGAAAAGAAACTGAGGGGAGTAAAAAAAATTTAAGGCGGAAAATTTATGAAAAGTGGTCCAAATTGGAGATTAAAAATAAAAAAAAGAAAGAAAAGAAAGGAGAAAGGGATAGGAGGGATCGGACAAAGGGTGTACGCGCATAGGATAAAATGCAAGGCGCGAAGACAGACCAGGTAAGGGGCACGGAAGAGTAAACCATTCCTAATTAGTAATGGTGTTTTAATTCGGCACAGCAGGTGCGAAAACTTATATACATACCCATACATACATCTATATACATATTCCATTTAAACATACAACACAAGCATTTATATACACCCCACACATACATTCACATACACCCAATTCAAACATACCACACAAAAATTATATACATTCCTCACATATATGCATAATCCACTCACCTACCCTAATTCAAACATGAAAACAAAAATTATATTTATACCATAGCCCAAGTAGCATTATAGCCAAAAACAGAATACAAAACAGAAACACAACATGAAACTATTAACAATATTATAAAACACACACACTCATAGCCAAAATACAAACAGTTTATATACACCACCAATTAGTTCTTAAGACAATATTTTTTTTGTAAACTATCACGGGGCGGTGTAGAAAATTTTCATTAGATGCACCATAGCTACTAAACTCGAGTATAGGACCCCTAGCTCCAAGCACAAGCACAAAAAAAGAAAAAAAAAAAAAAATTAATAAATGAACGGATAAGAGAAAGTAAACTTTATATGATAAAAGGTCTCTTCATCGTCCCGAATGTTACAAATAACCGAATATGTAATAAATATCTGTAAGTGAATATGAATCTGGAGTAGAGTCCATTTATGGGGTGAGATGGGGTGACGAAAGTCACTGAGCAACAGGAAAATCAAAACCAGCACGTTAAAGGGAGCCGGCAACAAAATGCCAAGACCGGCTCAAGATAGGGAGGGCCACGCAGCTACAAAACATCCACGTAGCCACACCACCACTAAATTCCATCGGCGTCTATAACAGCCGGCAAAATGTAGGTGTATTAAAGAAAAATATAAATTACGATTGTTAGACCTGTCGCATCCCTGTCGCGGTCGAATCTGACCCTGGGCCGCATGCTAGCCGGTGTTGCGAAATAGGATGCACTGGCAAATGCGGGCATAACAATATTTTATTTTTAACTTTCGTTTGACTCACAACATATGACGTAACTCAGCAAAATGTAATGCTCGAAAAAGGTAATTATACTCTGTACATGAAATGTACAAGAGTATATTAGGTTTGCGGGAGCTGAAAAATGTAACAGGCAGAAGGAGGCGTGGCAGACCCCACAAAGTATATATATTATTGATCAGCGTGACAAGACAAGTCGATCTAGCCCTGTCTGTCTGTCTGTCCGTCTGTCCGTCCGTATGAACACCTGGATCTCAGAGACTATAAGAGATAGAGACACCAAATTTTCCACAAAGATGCGTTATGTGTGTATTCTATACGAGTTTGTTTTATTTTTTTTGATTTTCCCCCCCACTTCCCCCCTATGGGGGTTTTCCCGATTTTTCATTCGTATAATCGCCTATATCTCGGAGATTATAAGACCTAGGCACACCAAATTTTAGTCCAAGATGCCTTGTGTGAATACGCAGAAAATGTAAATTTTGGAATTCCCCTCCCTCCCCCCTCTCCCCCGCAAATGCGATTTTCTCTAATTCCCGTAATTCTTGGAATTTCGAACTAAAATTTTGCAAATACCCCCAGTTAGTAATTATGTGTCCGTATGCCAAGTTTCACTATGATAGACCGATTTACCAAGAAGTTATAGCCATAAATATATTTGCTGCTGCAGCGCTGCTCAAGCGCTGCCCGCGGCTGTTGTTGATGTTGCTGTTTGGTTGACTGCGAAAATGCTTACACAGACACGAATTGATGCGCATAGGCATACATACACTCACACAGACGCAATTGCTATATAAATGTGCAATTTTACACCCTTTACGTGAGTTCGAATACCGAGAGAGGTAAAATCGATCAAAATTTTTTTTTATTTTTCTTAATTTTTTTTATTTTCTATAATTATTGTAAACATATGTACAGAGTATTTCAAAGTCGGGACACCCGACTTTAGCTTTTTTACTTGTTTTGTCGTTGGGCCAGTAGGCATCTCAATTGTGCGGTTGTTTCGGATGTTGTGTGTGAATGCTAGTGTTTTAACTACAGCTTTAGTAAGTTGCTAATTTGCATAATATTTACATAGGGTATACAGCATATTTTTCATGCAGATTGTTCAGAATAACTATAAGATTTATATTCCAATGATTTTTTTAAGTGGAAAAATGTCTTTGTCAATGTTTGTAATCAAATCTCCATGCATCATACGAGATTTGAAACCTCCCAAGAGCCATATCTGAGGCACCCCTGATTGATGCGTGCAAGGTCCGCATGAAGACATATCATTTTTTGAATATTAGTTTTCGATTTCACCCGGGGCTTAGCTATCCTCAATGTTTCTAACGCATTTTCCTGGAATACCCTGTATGTGTGTTTATAGTAACAATTTAATAACATTAGCCATCAATAATATCGATACCATTGCTTACACTAGCTGGAACAATCGAGGCTTTGTACATCCCTATGCGCTACGATTTATGCGCATCCAATAATTGTACATTTCGCATGAAAAAATCAATTATGATGTGAAAACAAGACACAAAGATCTCGCTTAAAGTGTATAGTATAGTTCTTAAAAAGAGAATTACTCGAGAACAAAACCACTAATAAGATTTGTATAATTTTATATTTTTTACGATGAATGTGCAACAGAGACAACTGTTTAATTCTTCATAAGTACAAATGTCCCCGCGCGTGTGGCGAAAGAAATTGCCCTAAAGAGAAGGAAAAAATGCTGTTTCATTTCAAATATTTTGTGCTATGGCTTTTGAAATGTCTATATGCATTACACTATACAAAAAATTATGTTGATTAACATCTACTAGAACTATTTGAATGTCATATATCAGCAAGTTTTATTTTTGTGCGTGCATGTACAATATGTGTGTCGAAGTGTTAAAATTGTGAAGCCTCCAAGTGAGGAATCAACTTAAAATTTAAGTCATCTTCTGCTATTGTTCCTTTTGTGGATTTTATTTAAAATCGTTTATCAAAAGCCACTTGGAACAATTTTATTCTGTTGTAAACAAGAGACAGTGTCCGTTACCCTTGCTGAGCTTTGGTGCTACTGTTTACCACGGGAGAAACGGCGGTTATAAAAATTGAAGCTTGAAGTGGACAAGTAAGTGTGTGTGCATTATATGTGTTATTCCTAACTTACGAATGCCCAATCATATGTTTTTAAAATTTTGTTAATTTAGTATGTGGGCAAAAATAGTTATTCTTCTACTGCTACTCATTAGACATGACACAAATAGTTAACGTGGAATATGAAAACCATATCGTCCGATACTTTTTCTTCCACCTCATTGCAAGCTAAACTGGGCACTAAAAAACCGGAAACAGCCGCCGTAATTACTGTTAGTAGGAGTATCATTAATATGGAAACTACAGATCATGTTAATCTCATTGACGATGATGATGAAAAAGATCCGCTGGCATTGGACGTCAACACCATGCCAGCACGACTACAGCAGCAGACAGAACAACAAGAACTACATCAAGAACTTAACAATACGACGTCACCGTGCACTAAGCACACACATAGCCTGAGGTAAGATATCTATGGCTGTTTACATTATAATGCGTAATTACTTCGGATATTTTTTTCAATAGGCGTCATGTTCCACGCATTATAGTGAAAGCATTACCACCTGAGAAAAAGTCAACTGAAATGGATCCATCGACCATTAGCGGTTTTCCAATTATATCACAGTCAACAGCTAACACAGTCGTGGAGTCCTCTCCTTCACCAGTACGCGGCATCACAAGTCGACGTATTCAGCAGCAACAACAAGCCAAAGCTGCTGCAGCAGCCGCAGCGGCAGCCATAGTATCTCCAAGTACGTTCGCATCGAATACGCAAATCACCAAAAAGGTGATCACACAAACGTCCACCATGCGCGAGGTCCTCGCATCAATTCCCGGCTTTAGCGTAAAACCTCGACGGCGATCTAATAAAAAGCTTACCACGGCGGCACAAATCGAACAAACCAAGGATGGAAAAATTGATTTGGAGACACCCGATTCGATACTAGCATCCACAAATTTACGCGCTTTACTTAATAAACAGACGTTTTCATTGCTGCCGCCACTGTATCAATACAATCTTATACAGTTGCTGCCAAGCGTCGATCGTGAGGCCAGCGAAGTGGTGGAGTCGCCGGAGATGCTGGTGGGTGAACAGCCCAGCACAAGCAGTGGATCAGGAGGTGATACATCTGCGACCATACGCTTGAGCGGTTCATGCCTGAATAACGAGTTTTTTGCACGAGCGTGTCTTGAGTGGCGCGAACGATTAAGTGAAGGAGAATTCACGCCGGAGCATCAAATGAAACTAAGAACTGAAGCGGAGCGTGAAAAAAACAAGCTCGATCCTTGGAAGCTGAAACACTTTGAACCATATTGGGGTGAGAAGAATGCAAGGCGTAGTAAAGAATTGAACAACTGCACCATAGTTAATATGACAGATAAACACGTAGGAATTGGGTGTGAAAGGCTGACAACTAGCATGGAGAACAAGCAACAGCCAGTTAATCCTCTGGTAAAACATCAAGAAACATGTGATAATGAGACTGAACTGAAATATGAATTGGTACGTTTTAATCTCGGTTTTATATCCTAATAATTATGAGCTAAATTTTTGATTATACAGGGCACTAAGTGCATACCAATAACAATGGATTCAACACAATCAACAACAATTAGAAGAAACAGCGTTACTTTTTCAACAGACCAACGTCATATTTTAAAACGTCGATTGAGCAGTCCGTTAAGTAACAAACACAACGATACAAAAATATCAAACCTGGTTTCCTCAATAGATCCCATTGACGGTAATGAGTGCTATGACGTTGATAATAATGTGCCTACCAAATCTAGGGAAACCAAACAGAAGAAAATTACGCCTGAAAGTGTTCCTAAAGTTTTGGAGAATTTGGCGCTTTCAGAAGCCACTGATGGCGTTGTTGATTATGAATCGAGCGAGTTTCAGGCTGCTGACGTGGATGGGACAACTGCAGTGCAACAAACTCACCAACAGTCACGTATCAACAGTACCTGTGATAAAATTGAATTCCCCAAGTGCGCATCCTCCATCGCTAAAATATTAACATCAAACACGACTTCAACAACAACGGCAGTCCTACAAAAGGTTGAGCATGTATCAAATAACTTTAATGATCATTTTTTGCTGAATAGCGCCGGTATGTATTCAAAAAATTTTATTTCTTTCAAGTGTGTTCAAAGTAAAATTTTTCATATAGAAATCAAAGTAAAAAACATGGTTTCCCTTTTAAGGGTTAACACCCATGATATTGTGCTTGACCACACAGTAGATCATGGTAAGCTACTTGTTATTACTACATTGCATTTTACACATGCATACATATAAGTTGTTCAATAGGAAGTTTTAGCCAAATTTTCAACTAGCTAATGAGTAAGGTAATACGTTTTTTCTTTCAAATTTTAATGCTTTCAAATGCTAATATAAAAATATAAAATAACAATATTTTTATATTCTCTTCTAAATATAACTCATTTCCCATAGCAAGGAATGTTGCATATTTGTGTGTACACACTTGAGGTATATATATATATATATATGAGGTAATCGTGATCAATAAGTATGCAACAATGAAACATATATTATGTGTATAGTAAGCTCCAGCTTATTCGAAATACTTAATAGGAATGTGCAACTTTTTTTTCTCTCTTGGAATTTCTTGGTATTTCTTGGAATTTTGTACTCGGATTTGGGGAATACATCCATGAGAGGTCAATTATGAAGAAAGTTAGAGGCATTAACATAATCTCTGCCCAAGCTCTGTCGGTAGCTGTTGCTACTTCGACTTGTTTCTTTACTGCATACAAGCACGCATAGTAACGATTTTGATGTAAATGTATGCTGTTGAAATTGTCTGTATGCATGTGTTAAATATTTTATATTTAATTAAATTTTTTTAATTAATTAATTTTGTTTTTGTGGTACAGGGTACTTAAGACCTGAGCCCGCTCGACTTTAGCATTCCCTTCTTGTTTTTAGATCAAGGAATTTCATTACTTTTAGTTTTGCTTGCAATTACTACACAAAGCGATTTAGCCCTGGTTTAAATGCAAATTACAACTAAGGCCAATACTTTTTAATTGTCTAATAGGTCACTGAATTTGTGTGTCTGTTTTTTCTCAATTTAAATATGTTCACAAAATCATGTCATTGTATAAATTTCATATATCGCACATACACTGCGCGTCATCAGTTTAGCACACCTACATCAATCCAATATAATTGCTTCTGATTTTGTTGCTGTTCGCTTTAAGCTACTTTTTAAATAAAGCGTTATCGGTTGAAGAGAAAGCATAAAACGAAGCTTAAGAAGAGTTAAAGCTTTCAATAACTGAAATAGCAAAATAAGTCGGCAGATGTGGAAAAGTTATATACAATTTCTTACTTAAAATGTCGGGATATGGTATAAATAATAAATGTACTAATAATAAAGAGATTTCCGATGCTGAGAAAAGAGCAATTTTAATATTTGAAAATATTAACACTTCCGATCATAGGAAGGAAATACGATTAAATCAAACTCTGCTTAAATTTTGATTGGAGCTTTGGTTTCTTTTCGGATGATAAGAAATGTGATTTGGAATGATCGGATGGATATAATTTTTATTTCCATGATCTTTGGAAGAAGGAGCAACAGTTGGTTCGACTTCATAGTCGTGTGGGCGGTGTAATGCTGTGGGGAGCCAGTTCCAGAATATCAATGCAAACACTTATAAAAGCGTTTTGAAAACTGCTTTTCCCCCAATTCAAAAATTTGTTTGGTGATTTCCCTGGATTTTTTCAACACGAGAATGCTTCGATTCACACTGCCCGGGCTATCAAATCTTGATTTGAAGCACATGTTGATTGTTGAATGTTGATTTAGTGAAGCGGCCGCCTTACTCACCGGACCTCAATATAATAGAAACTGTGTGGGGATGGCTGGTTCGCTAAGTTTACGAACAGTACAGTACAGAACAGTTTACGGACAGTATTCTACCAAAAAGGAATTAATTTAAGGCATTAAAAGTGCTTGGTCAGCAATTTCTTTAAGTTATATTGGATATATGAGATCATTCTCAACAAGGTACGATCGCTTCATTTTTTAAATTATAAGGAAATGTTTAAAGTAGTTACTATATTAGTTTAAAAATAAGTTCTTATTAGAAACGGTTAGAAACGGAAAAATTAAACACAAATGATGTGTGCTAACCTGATGACCAAATATAAAATGTGAATTTTTCGGTTGACTTCGAAAAAATCTTTAAAAAAAATATTGAAAAATAGAGGAACATTTGGTAGGAAAAGACACTTTCTAGCGATCGATTATACCTCCTTAGGTATTGGAACTCACGTAAAGGGTGTACAAGGTGCGTTCCAAAGTAAACAGGACTATCTATATGTCGACTGGTGCTTTAGAATCTGCTATCTTTATCGATTGTCCAGTGAGAATTTCATGACATTTCATCGATTGGAAGTGAAGTTATTGCGTTTTAAGTGTCAGTATGTTTGTGTTATCGTTGCGAAAATGAGCTTCGAACAAAGAGCCAACATTAAATTTTGTTTTAAAATTGGTAAAACTTTTACCGAAACGTTTCAATTGATGGAAAAAGTTTATGGCGATGATTGCCTATCCCGTAGCAGAGTGCATGAGTGGTTTCAACGTTTTCAAAGTGGTCGTGAGGACATAAATGACGATCAACATGTGGGCCAATCAAAATTCGTGCGTGAATTCATCAAAATCAGCCGAAATCATCATTGAAATTGATGGAATTGAACATCTCCAAAACATTGATTTATCGCATTTTGACCGAACAATCCGGTTTGAGCTAAAACACTCGTTCGACATGCTTTTGGATCGTGCAAAAAGCTGTATTGAAGCAGAAGGAGACTATTTTGAATTCAATAAATTGATTTTGCCGAAAAAACCATTTGTTTTCTTTTTTTTTTTTAAGTCATGTTCACTTTGGAACACACCTTGTATAACTGCACATTTGGGGGTTACAAAAAATGAAACAAACTTGTATAGCGTACACACGTAGGGCATCTTTGTGTACAATTTGGTGTCTCTAGTCTCTTATAGTCTGTGAGATCCAGGTGTTCATACGGACAGACAGGGCTAAATCGAGTTGTCTTGACATGCTGATCAAGAATAATATATATGTATACTTTATGGGATCTACCTGTTACATTTTTCAGCTCGCGCAAACCTAATATACTCTTGTACATTTCTTGCACAGAGTATAAAAATGCAGGTATTACCCGTCTTAACCCGGCTCAATATAATGTGTCAAATTGTATTTATTTTGTGTGTACATGACCTACCCATATGTTTTCATTTTATTAGTTACCAGTAGGAAGGCATTTAAGGTATTTAAATTACTAATATTTTTTAAAGCTCGTTTTCCCCCCTTTGGAGCTCGAATTTTCCAAAAGCCTTTCTTTGTGCGACCTAATGTAACGGAATCTTTCAGCGTAATTTTTACCAATTTCCAGAAGTCTGATCAGCTTGCACAGTTTGCACAAGAGTCAAGGACTGAAGACAATACAATTTTTCTAAAATTCATCCAAATCGGTCAATTCTATGAAAAGTTATTAGTGAATCAACTTTACTACGCCCACAAGTTGCAGCATCCGATTTGCGTCAAACTGTCCACACCAGAGAACAGCAACGAGTATGTTCAAGTATGTTCGACCACCCTTGCTGAAAATGCAATCAAATCAGATCTTTGCTTGGTTGCAAACGAGTTCGAACGGGTTAAGTTATCTTATGATTGAACTTGAATGAGCCAGCGTTCTATTTTTGCGAACAAGTACCAGCCTTGATTGGTTTCAAACATTTCAGACATTGCGCGAGTTGTACTCGGGTTTTGCGCAGGTTTTACCCGAGTATGTCTCGAGTATTGCGTGGGTTTTACCCGAGTATGACCGTAAAAAAATACATGTATGATTGTAAATATAAAAACTTTCCTGTTTAATTTATTGAAAAACCAAGTAAACCGGTAAATCAGCAGTGAAAGTTGGTGCCCTCACTGGAGTTGCAGCACGATTAGTCGGTGGATCTACATTACACCGTCTGCTAAAATGACCTGTACAACAAGAGAGAACGCTACAGTCGAGCAAGCCCGACAGTGTAATACCATGTACCCAGGTAAACTTCCGTCACTGAGTTATATGCGCCCAAAGCAGCAGCAAAAAGAGGAAGAAGAAGAGCGAACTTGTTGCTGCAGTTTGGGGGGGTTGTTCTGGCGAGAATTTGTTTCGCTAATAACTTTTCTTATTGAATTGAATAAAATTGTAAACAACGGTAGATAATTATATATTAATTATGTGTGCAAAGTTTGGTTTAGGTAGCATTTGAAGTGTGGACGCTATTGACGAAATTCTGTAGCAGAAGAAGGGAGGGGTGGGGGGGGGGGGGGGGGGGGGGGGAATTAAAAAAAAAAAAATAAACTCGTCCTTTCTCTGACCTAGGAGAATCTAGATGTCAACTTATTATTATGGTTATTCTAGCTTTTATGAGATCCTTGCGTTCATCCAGACGGACGAACGGACATGTCTAGATGGATTTCTCTTGTCATGCTGATTCAGAATATATATACTTTAATGCGTCAACTATGGTAACACGTAGAATTTCTTTTTATAGATGAAATTTCTATGGTTCCTTACGAGATGCTCTGTATGATTGACTCTCGTCTGCGACAATTAAAAAGTTCAAATGCTTTTTTTGGAGGGATAAACATTTTATTATTCGGTGATTTAATGCAATTACCTCCTGTACGAGGACATCAAGTTTTTCAACAACCAGAACATATGAAGCCTACACATTTATGGCGGCTCTTCAAGCTGGTTTAACTAAAACAAAATATGCGCCAACAAGGAGACACAACATTCATTGATATACTGAACATCTTGAGGATTGGAGAACTGACCTCTCAGCATCTTACAATACTTCTAGAAAAAGTTTCGACAGATGCTAACAATGAATTCTCAATTGATAACGCATTAAGAATCTACCCTACGTATGATCAAGTAGCTAAGCATAATGAAAAAGTACTTCAGTATTTTGAGAAAAAAGAGACAAATATTTTTACAATAAAAGCACAAGATCAACTTATTGATGCTACACGAAATTTAGGTGATAAGAATGTGGACTCTGTTATACCTAATGATATTAACAAGACGGGTGGTCTTCCTAAACTATTGAAAATGTTCGTGTTCGAGCTAAAGTAATGTTGAGATCGAATATTGACGGGGCAAAAGGTTTAGTAAAACAATTAAATTATTAATAAAATAATT